AGACTAAGGGTGTAAAAGATGGACTAACTATAGTGTCTCTTGGGTTACCGTTAGTCAGTCCATTATCTACCCCTCCTTCGTTGATTGCAACCACCCGCTTCCACCAATAGGATCCCTCCATATACCTTTAGTCTTCTTCGTCTATAGCTTTGTCTATCAACTTCAAGAATACCAAGGCTCTTTTTATTTACCAGGCGACCGCCCAAGAGATGGGCACAGAGCTGCCTTTCATCTCCCGGAGTATTAAGTGATCTCTCTCATCGCAATCATGTTTAGTTTAACATATTTATATACTAATTTAGAGGCTAGACAAACAGGGTCACGTCCCTGGTCAGAAGTTAGAAGAAGAAGAAGAAGAAGAATTTCAAGAATCAGCCCGCAGAAGATGCGGTGGGCTATGGAAACCAATCCTCTAGCGAACCTCGTGAGGCTAAGCTGTTTTCTAAGAAACAAACACTCGGAAATTATGAGGGTGGAATCCAAGGCTAAGAAACTCCTGCGAAGTTGGCGTCTCCCAGTTTACACGAGTTATTCACTCAGCGGTGACACCTCCCGAGGAGCTCTCATTGGACGAGCGGAGCGCGGCGAGAAGGCCAGCGGCATAATCAACTCGATTCGTTTACTTTTTGATGAGAACCCGTGTTTGGACGAGTAATAAAAGCTTGCCTTTGGCCCGATTAAAAGCGCGCCCGAGTTTTCTCGGAAACAGAAGCCTCAACTCCGACAATAACAAACAATCGGAGGCTGCCGTGCAGGCGCCTCGATCACCGCCGCACATCGGATTGAGTCGATAGGACAGATCGGACGAAGTTCGGAAACTTTAAACGCTTGTAACTCCGTTCTTACGAAACTTTGAGGTTCTAAAAGCAGGGTGTCTACTAAAACATGCTGGTCAAAAATAAGTAATTTACACGGTACTTTCTCAGTACCTTCTCAAGAGATTCAGTACCTCCAACAGAAAAATTCTGTACTTTTTCAGTACCTCCATTTGACGAAATAAGACAAATATCAAAAATTCGAAATCGCGAGAAAAATGACAAAAAATTGAAAAAACTCCGGACCTTTTGGCGGAATTTCCGCACTTTTTCAGTACTTCCGGACCGCCCTAAAAAAATCAGTACTATTTCCGGAAATTCCGGACTGGTAGACACCCTGAAAAAGTGGTTTCATTGGTTTCTTCGAGAAGCACCCCTCAAAGTTAAAAATTTGACGAAATAAACATAAAAATTTGCAGTTTTTGTCAAAAATCTCATGTCCACCGTCTCTAATTGACTCGATCCACTGTGCGCCGCTGACTCGAGGAAACCACGCGCGGCACCAATTTTATTTTCCTCGGAAAGTGTGCTCGAGAGCTTCGCAACGCTCGGTAAAAACCGCGCTTTTGCATTATGTTCCGCCTGCAATAGCGCGATTTACGCTCCCGGAGTGCTTGCGCGCGGACCCGAGTTTACTACGCATTTCCCGGCGTCTTATCGCGATGAGTTTACACTGTGCGTTTGCTCTCGGAGCTACTTGCTGCAATGTATTTGCCGACTGCAACGGTAAACATCATCGTCGCTCGCGCCGGTCGCCGGTCGTCCGACGTCACCCGTCTGACCGAAAAGACGTATCTCGAATTCCACGTGAGCCCTGCTGTCTATAAAAATCCACGCTTCTCACGGCTCAAGAGGAAATGAAGATACATCCTTACAACTAAAAAGCGACGACAAGTCCGTCTTTATAGCGCCACAACAGTCAAGATGCAACGTAACCGAATGATATACTACCTTTTGTATTTATAATCGTTCTTCAAACAGCACTTCTGCTTAGAGGTCTCGTGTGGTTTACATTAGGATGAAGGGAGGTAATTTGAGGAGGCCGCAAAACATAGCATCATAAATGGACGTATTTCTGCCGAACCTACCTATGTGCATTATGATTCCTGAGTCCCATAGAAATATGTGCATAACCAGGCTCACGTCATAATGCACATGGTTCCGTTTGATAGAAATACGTTCAAATACAAGAAATAAAATCGCAAAGCTGAAGTAAAACTCCAAAGAACAACTTTAGGACTAGAAGTAAATCCTTCAAAGGGATTGCAAACATTTGCCACTATAAAAATTCAAAATGCGAACAAAAAATATAATATATCGTCACCTTCCAGGCAGAGTATCACAAGCGCCATGCGACGTTTAAAAATTTCCGCCGCCATTTTATTTCTTTACTGAGAAATTGTTGGTTGAATCTGTTTGGAAATTTCACTAAATTTTATCGCAGCACAAAGAAAATTCAGTGAAATTTTCGGATAGCTTCGTTGAACAATTTATCTGTAAAAAAATAAAATGGCGGCGGACATTTTTAAACGTCGCATGGCGCTTGTGATACTTCGCCTGGAAGGTGACGATATGTATTACAAGTTTTGAAAATTTCGAGGTGGGCCCATGTCAGCCTTAAAGTTTGCCATAACCATAATTGTATGTTTTTTACTGTGTTAAATCGCTGTAATCTCTAGCAAGGTATCTGTTTTCAAAATTAACAACGTCATAGTAATTTTTGAATTGCAATCATGAAACTTGAAAAAAAGTCTAAATGTCTGACGATTTGGACCAACTTTAGTTGGTAAGTTAGAATAAAATCCAGTTATTTATGGTGCCCTGTACTGGACATGGAATGTTTCCGAAACGAGCTGATTCATTTTACATGAGGATGGACGGAATCCCTTTAGGACATGGGACATTGCGATAAGTGCCTCGACGAATCGCGGCGCACCAGAAAAGCGCCGCGGGCCAATCTAACGGAACAGTGGAACACTGTCATAGATTCAATAACGAAACTCATTCGCAGGATTCAATAAATAACCTCAAATCGCGTCAGTTCGGAGGACGCCATCAAATATTCAATGAGTTGACCCTTTGATCGTGTATCGAGTTGTACGGAGAGAGCCCTCGACAAAGGTCGGAAGAGTGTGCTAGTTCTTAAGCTACACTGGACTCGTAACATATTGATTTTAGCAGGTGACTTGTGACTAAGGGCTCATGGATAGTTCGTCGCTTGCCTGAAATAAGGGTGTAACTGCACATTGAGATGAGCCCGAAAAAACATTGAATTCTATGGAGGACACGGTTCATTGCAGAGTATGGTTACGCCCTTATGTCAGGTAGGCGACGAGTTGTCTGTGCTCTGCGTTTCTGCGGGTATAATTTGTCATTTTGCGGCTTCACTCCTACCGCAACAATTATTGGAATGCTGCCTAGTTTCGCCTCAAACCGCCGAACCTGTATTTACTGATGACGGAAACGTTTTTCATAACGGAAAAGGCCATTGGATAATAACGCGTAGGGAGGGAGATCTAGATACAATCCCTGCGAGTGATAGCATCGAAGAACACGCAGATCGACAACAACTTTCTTGCTCTAAGAGGGTACAACAAAATGTTGACCTTATTTTTCCCTGGCCAGTCTCTGGATCGAATAAATGCTATACTTTTGGTGGGAATAGTGGAATCTACTCATTTAGCGACAATTACGGGGTGAAGACAATAATGCGTCTGGGAGTGATGCAAAAATAAACGTTGGGGGGAATCGGACGTTTCATGACAAGGCACTGTGCACATCATGTTACTTTACAGCGTCAAATCAACGCGTCCTTCCTTCTTCAATATTTACATTTTAGTGAGACAATTTGAGCCCCGATCATGTTAAAACTAAAACTTTACACGTCTTCTTTAGCTTAATGCTCAATGGCTTTATTGGTGTCATTGTGGGTGTAAAATACTCTCTAGTGCAGTGATGTAAACGCTACCATTTAGAATTTTCTCTTCAATTGCCAATCATGATTACTCATTGATTACGTGCCCATGAATAGTCATTACCTATGAATAGTCGTTTATCGAGGATTAGGTCGAAACATAAGTGCACATTTCAACAAAAGTGCTGCTTTAAACCCTCAAAATAAATATTCTATTTAAATAGGGAAGCTGACTAAGATACTCCTTTGAATAAAATAAAACATGAGCAAAGATTAGCGATGTCGAAATCGAACAAACGCATTTTAATTCGGTTTGCGGGCCTCGGCCATTCGGCGCAACTCCGAAATGATCGCCTAGGTCGCGAATAGATTCTGCAATATTAATAAATGGACTACATTTTGCAATTAGGAACTAGAGTGCCTGGCTTATTTTAGAAACAATATAAGCGCCATTAGTTTCCCTATACAGATACGTGCTTCTACCGGGGTGTCTACTAAAAGAGGCTGACCAAAAATCAGTACTTTTTCTTGGATATATCCTCCACAGAAAAATACATTGCATACATTTGTCGAAATTCGAAAAAATTCAAAAATTTGGATGTCTCACGCAAATTGCGACAATTATGACCAAAAAAAAAAAAAAAAAAAAAAAAAAAATAAGGGGCTTCTTGCGAAATTTCCGCACTTTTTTAGTACTTCTGGAGCGCCCTTAAAAAATTAATGGAAATTTGGGACTTGTAGACACCCTGTTCTATGGATGAAATTTGTAGTTCCTTATTGCAAAGTGCTGTCCTAATGGAGCGGTAACTAGTTGCTAGTTAGCCGACGAGGGGCGTTCGAGACGGATCCTGTGCCGGACGCCGACGACAATCCATCGGAAACCCTTTAATTGGCCCTTAGGATGCTTCCCGCAATTCCAGATTCGGCCGTCAACAAAGAGTAGACAAAAGACGAATTTCGGCCTCAATTAATAACTGTCTGCATTCAGATACGAGGGTGCGGTGCGGGCGCTGAGATTTGAATGATAAATCAGGGTTTATTAGTTAGGTTTTACAATCTCTGTGTCTATGTTACACCTCGACGGCGAAATTTGCCAGTCCGAAAACTGGGCAACTTCATGCTCTGGGATATATTTTCCCCGGGTGAGAGGTCCCGTTTCTGTTACTAAAATCAAAATTCCCGGAAAAGGAGTTTCCTCGTGGTTGGAAAGAGAGTGCTAAATGGCCAGAGGTTCTAGGTTCTAGGAATTGTGAAGAGGGTGGTAATCTTACAGAAGGGCGCCGGGAGGCCACCTTGAGGGGCTGCTGGAGCCCTGCGGGGGGCCTGGAGGTGGAGGTGGACTCCGAGCTGATCCTTGAGTTGGAGTTGGAGGTGGATGTGCGTTGAGATTGAGTTTGAGATTGAGGTGTAGGTTGAGAAGGTGATTGAGTGAGTTGTAGCCCCGGACGGGGGACAGGGGTGCGTGCCGCAGCCGTGTTACTCACCTGCGAACAAAACAAAAACAACAAAATCAGTTATCAGAACGCAAAACATAAAAACACTCAAAAGCAACACATAGGCTCAACAAAAGCGCCTATTCACACAAGCACAATTTTCAAGGACCAACAGAAAAGTTGGCCATTTTCCTTAGACCTGCAATTTTTTCATACACTACAGCGTCATCGCAGCGCTCCCCCGAAGAATGAGAAAATACTAAAAATATGAGCAATAGCCTGTGTCACACTATCAAAATACTCCATCAAAATGTCAATGTGAAGAGCTGTGATTGGTCCAGGTCATCGAATATGCCAATCACAACACCTGACCTTGATATTTTGATGATTAGCTTTGATGGTGTGACACAGGCTGAAGAAATGCGGCAAAGTCTCTAACTCATTTTCGGCGAAATTCTCAGTTGGGCGGCATTGTTCCTGAACCCTTGGTTATGCTGCATTTGAGACTTTAAAGTGAATTAAGGTGTGATGATGGAAAGAGGATCAACTGCTCTCTCGGAGCTTTACCTCGGAGAAAATAGGACGAAAGAGTAGTGAAAGAAAACTAATTGCATATTGATTAAGATATAAGGCGCCTCAACTGGCTACGAACGGGAGCCTTGACTGTGGCATTAGGAGAGAGCCCCTCCGCGGGGAGACGCACAGGGCCCGATAACTTTTCCCGGCTCAAATTCTGGCCCTCGACCAAAATTCGCCTCGGACATTTCTCGCAGCGCGCCAACGATCCTACAATGTTGAGTCAGCGTTGTCGGACGAGCTAAGATTCCAAGCCCACTTCCCATTCGAAAGAGAAGAAATTCCCTCTCTCCGTACAACAACATGGATGACGTCATCGTCCACCACTCCAATGCTGAAACGTTCGCTCAAGTAGAGACGATACGTTTGCCTCTTTCAATTTCCAACATTCTTCATATACGTCAGTTGTGCCTAGATTCAGTTTTAGGGGTTCGTATGCGGACTGCGTTGAACAGAAAGGAACAAAGTCCCATCATCTAATGCCAGATTTAATTGGACAATATAATTTTTTAGTAAAAGCGCTTGTGTGGTTTTCTTGCAAATTTCAGTGAATTTTCTGCACAGGACGGAGGAAATTCCTTAAAATTTTCAAAAAATCCGCACAAACGTTCTCTTGTAAAATATTAAAGTGCTCAGTTAAATTTGGCAATAGCTATGGCTTGGTTCCTTTCTGCTAAACGCGGTCCATATCAGGATTTACAACGATTTATGAACCGGATCCTTGCGCCAAAGATCTGAATCGAATAGTAGTACCTAGATTTCTTCATTATAGAAACATAGCAATTGACTTCATCCACTGCGTTAAACCAAACCAAACCAAAGTTTCCTTCACCTTTGTCTCATCGGTGACTTAAGCGAACAAGCAATGCGACCCGTGGAAATTAGCACATCACTGATGGATAAATAATTCTACGTGGTAAAAACATTAATAGTGAGCACTATCACGGGCCTGGACGAGGAGCTGAAAGAGTGAACACGAACTTCCAAAAAACAGAATTACGGGTCGCAAGTTCGTCAAAAAATGGCACGGACCCGAATCCTATAGAGGCGCNGGGGGGGGGGGGGGGGGTTGGTCTCAACGAGCCCCCTCAATGTCAAATTCGACTTTTACGTGTCAATTTTAGATATTATTAAGACGTATTCAGGAAATTTTTCAAGTTTGGCGAGGGGGTTTTATGGCAAAATTCGATGCCAGGAATGGGAACGAGAAAGATGGAGTAAGTTCCCGGTATTCAAAGCATGATAACTTTGTATTTGCGCTTGTGTGAATATTATTCCGTCAAAGTTCCCAGAGGGATCTCTCAGGATTTTTATCATTATGTATTTCTAAATTCTCGGACCAAAGTTTCCGAGTTCACATTTAAACGAAAAAGCTTCTAGCTGATTTTATCTCCTTTTATATCACGCAGACTTATGCTACACTGTAAACCCACTGTCAACCGCTAGGAGTTCGAATTACGGAAGAGAGCACTCAGAGCTTTTATTCCGATCTTTCGGATGGCACCGGCGGAAGTTGTGGTGCAGACACGCTATTCACAATTCTCTGACTCTTCCCGGTCGCCGAAAAAACTCTGACTTTCCAGGCTTTTCCGACTCCCAAACTCGATGTCCCAATGCTGATCGTTCCTCAGAGGAACGACGATATTTCTCACCCAGTAAGATTCGACTGGAGTAGTACCCCTATTTTTCCTTCGATTCGATACTGAGCGGGATGGGGTCCGCTCTACGGGTTCATCGTCGCAATTGATGGACAAAGCAATAGACAAAAGAAACGTAGAGAAAACGGAGCAATCCTACTGGTGGAAGCGGGTGATTGTAGTGGTTAAAGGAGGTAAATAATAGGTCAACTAACGGGAACCCACGAGAGACCCAATAGTGTGTCCATCATTTTCCCTTGCAGTCCATAAAAACCACCCGATAGAACCGATAGGATCACTCCATTTGCCCTACTTCTTCTTTCTCCATAGCTTTGTCTATCAATTTCAATAATCAGCCCGCTGAACCGACAACGTGGCCGCGGCGCTATTCGGAGGCGGGTGCCAAACCGGGCGAGAAACAACCCCCCCTCCCCCTCCGCCCGAACACAAACAACTCCCACTCGCCGGCCCGGCCCGTACTTTCCTTTCCGATAAATACCTTGAGCACTCTATATTGGTCATAAAAAAAGCGACTCGATGGGCATTGTTGGTCGGTGACTTCACGGTGGCTATTTACGCGCCGAATCGCAACAAACCGTCGTTCCTTCCGTAGTCACCTGGTCAGTGTCTTCGACGGATCGTATGCGATACATCAAACAGGTGAGATTTTATCGATATCGATTGATTCAACATGTAAACAAAGCCTCAAAAGTCAAATTGGAAATCTAAGGGAACGGGTCTTTCGTGATGGTTGATTTCATTTTTTGCTTACCAACTGGCAATAAAAAGTGAAATTGTTGGGAATTTTCTCATTTTCAACTTAGATCCGAATTTCTTTTTGAGGTTATGCTCTAATTGTTTGGACAAACGATACATCGAACCACTGACGAATACGATCCATACAGGCTCAAAGGGCCTCAGAGGCCCCCACCCCTCCAACCCCCCAATGTAAAGCAAACCTCGCATTTCAGCATCATTTGCTGGATAAATGGATGTTCGTTTACTTCCTGGGAGGAATTAGCGCGCAAAACTAGGAATGTATTTGGACTGAATGAGACGGTCGGCGGCGGCGGGTCGCGAAAATGCTCTGACAACGATGAAAATATGGAAACTCGGAAAAATAAAACAGCGTGGGCGAAGACGGGCCGGCAGAGGCAGCGATGACATGATAACGACGGGTCGCATAAGCTTACGTTACGATCGGCCACTTGGGTCTAGGGAGTTGCCCATAGATGCCATGCTGTTCCGAAAGGGAAATATTTCTTATAGAGAAAAATTCAGCGATTAAGTATATGCCTTCTTTAATCGTTTCCCGGACGAAGGAACGTAGCTTCATTCCAAAGTTGCAAGATTGACCCAAACAATCCAATTTTTTACAAGAATGCATCTGTGCAGTTTTTGTCAAAAAATATGTGATCTTTGCATGAGAGATGAGATCTGAAGAAAAATCAGTGAAATTTTCAGTCAGAAATTCCCAAGATTCCCCTGATAAAAATGCAATCCACAAGAAATTTGGCAAGACTGCGAATTCAGTTACATTCTTTCGCGAGGGTAACGAAGAATTGTGAAGTAAAGTGAGAGTTGTAACCGTACGAAATATACGCGGATAAAAGTTCACAGGTTTTCGTATTTTACAGGGTTGCCACAGAATTTAGAAAATGAAATTCCCTGACATTTCCCTGATTTCCCTGACACGTTTTGGTGAAATTCCCCGACAATTGGAGATGACGTGACGAATGGTTAAGAGGGCGTAATTGAAAATAGTTTTCAGGCAAAATTTCTTGTTCAAAATCTCAAACTCATACTAGAAAGCAAATTAGGGTGATTTAACAAATGTTTCCTGACATTTCCCGGTTTTCCCTGACTGTGACAACCCTGATGTCATCAAGGAAAACTTGGCAACGTTCATATGTTGACAACGCGCGACGCTACACGCGATGACTGCCGAACAACACCCTTGTTTACCGACGGCAGCCTTCATTTCCCGTGCCCGGCAAAACGCAATACACCGTCTGCAATTCCCCGCGGAATTGCCATTCGCATTTTCCGAGTGCTACACCCACTTGCAACTCCACTCAGGGTAATCGTCTCGGAGCACGAGCGGACGCCACGCCTTGAGCGGAGACGAAACATGAATCGTAGGCTATCGATATTCTACCACTTGAAGCTATGGTAAATAATCGAATACGAAGGAATATCCTGTCGATCGATCCTTTTACAAAGGATTAAATCACCGATCAATCAATAAAGCACGAAACGCCGATAGCCTAGGGGTCCGTGCGGTTGTAACTCCGTTGTAGAATGTCTATCGACTTCCGGAACAAAAATTCCGTAAATTGTTCAAGTTTTCAAGCCAAATCATATAATGTTCTGACTGTTTCGATCGGAAACCGATCATACACGCAGCGAAGAGAAGAAATACTACGATTATTGCGTAAAATTAACCTATAAATTGGCCCAATTTCTTTTCCCAGTTTTTAATTTCCATTATCTTGTATCTAACGATCGAGATAACTCTTCATAAAAGAAGAATAGCGCGCGACGAAATTTTAGAACTCTCCGTAGCAAAAGAAAGAATAGATGTATTTTCCAGATGATCGCAAACGGAATAAAACGATGATATGAAATTCAGAGACTTTCAGGCAATTTTTCAGAATCGGAGGATGTTTGAAGGCTTGAAGAATCGAAATAAAAATTTAAGGATAGCATGACTGCCAAAACCCACTGGGAAACGGTTCAAAACGCCGCACTTGAAAAAAAAAACATTGGATATAGAGTCCAGACTCTTAAAAACATCGACAAGAAAAAATACTCTGGATTCAATCAGATTTAAGCTTCAATCAAGAACCAAGCCTCTTAATTTGAGCGGATTTCCTCTTGATTTAAGCTTAAATCTGATTGAATCGAGGGTCCTTTTTCTTGTTAATGTTTTCAAGAGTCTGGACTCTAGATCCAATGTGTTTTTTTTTCCAGTGCGGCCAAAATGCTTTGCGTAGCGCTTGACCAGCCGGCCCTCAAGGAGGAATTCCGCTAGGATCCGATCGCGTGTCCGGCTGTCCAGGAGCAAAGAACATTCTGCACTTCTAGATTGTGGATTCGTGCATTGAAAGCATTTCTGCGGCGACCATCATATGCTTGTTCGCGGAGCGGTATCGCAGCAGGAGGGGGTTGAGGGGGGAGGGAGCCGCTAGATGATATTCAAGATTAAGACACGACAACCGACGAACAAGATCGATCCGTCCGAGTTTGACCGTTGCAATTTCATGCAAACATGTGCATGTGCATCCCGTGATGTGCGCCAACAGGCTCTTCGATTCACCGGAGGGCGCAAACTGAGCTCCAGGTTGTAAAGATGTGCGCTGAGGGGAAAAGAGAAGTATCTCTGAGAAAAATTCGGGTCGCCTGTAAAATTATCTGTTTGAACCGGTAATAGACTAACTAACGGCAATCCACGAGTGACCCTATGATTAGTCCATCATTTACCCCCTTCGACTATAAGAACCATGAATTTTAAAAAACAATAGGATTGCTCCTTACTCCTTTGGTCTCCTTTGACCATTGCTTTGTCTATAAATTTCAACAATCAGCCCACACGTACTAAAAATTTCCACAAACTTTGAAAACGAAATGGTCCCGAGGCGGTAGAAGACTAGATTCCCCGTTTCTGAAACATACTCCCTGATTTTCCTTGAAATTTTTTTTTCATTTCCCCATAAATTCCAGTTTTTTCCGGTCCTAGACACCATGGCGTAGAACTAATATGGTCGGAGGATAGGAATCTCAGTGCACGAGACAGAAGGCGCTCGAAGCTCCCTTCAAGGCCGCCTCTTGTTCGTACACAATCTCACAAAAACCCGGGCGTAAATAAAAATCGCTTCAAATCCAAGTTTTGGCCCGGCGCGGAATACAATCGGACACTCTGCTTTGTAGCCGTCGTCAATGGAATAATGGCGTCTCACCTCCTAATTACTTTGCTGAGTTTATTGAATTTCCACTTCTTACTGGGCTTTTAATTTCAACTGATGTGACACTGCTAATTTAAGTATCCAAGCTAGTAAGAAAAGAAGCTACCCATTTTGAGGCTTGTGTAAACCGATTATTGCCTACTTCGTAAAGATTGATCATTTCTTTACAATTCATTACTATATAAATTCTGCGAATGATCGGGGATGAAAATCAAATCAGATCTAGTCAAATTCCTTATCTACATTAAATCAATATCACAATAATTTTGAAACACCTCAAGGTACGAAAAAAAAAATGACTTCCAAATAAGTGTCATAGATTGGCTACATTAATGAATCTTCGTTACAGCACGGCCATTAGGATGAAGCAGGATGAAAAACAGGAATAGTCAAATTCGGGGACAAAATCTGCGTGCAACTCGCGAAAATCGATTAATTTCTTCATTTAGGTAAATGGATTGGAATTGGAAATCGGAAAATGAACTGAGATATGTAGCTATTTATAAGCGGATTTGATTACATTATGAGAATGGAGCAAAGGTGTAAAAAATAAAAATAAGTAAATCGGAATGATTGGTAGGAAGAACTGAGGGAGTCTCTATAAATTGAGACAGCATCTCATGTTATTTCTCATTGAATACTATTTGCGAATTCAAAACAATTTATCTCTGACTGACGGCAACGCTTGAGACTTCGCATGAAGAGCGTATTAACTCGAGGCCTTTCCCGTTATCAAGTCATTATGTTTTCATGGTTTTTGATTAGATAAATAATTATTCTCATCTCTTCGACCATACTTCACCTACTTTAGATGAAACTTCTAAATGGGAATGCTGGACGCGTGGAAAGAACCTCGCGGGCGATTTCACGGATAGATGAAAATACACTGGAAGAAAGAATCTCTTGGATCCGGAGTATAGACTTAAAAAAATGTGACTAGAAAAAATACTCTTGCTTCAGTCGGAGATTAGCTTGAATCAAGGGGAAATCCGCTCAAATTTATTTACGAATAAAGTAGAGGGTCTGGGCCCTCGATCAAGCAAAAATAAAATATGCGATGCAAACAAATGTGAGGCAAGAGTATGTTTTCTTGTCGAATTTTATGAGAGTCTGGACTCTGAATCAAAGGGGCATGTGTTTCCAATGTACCGTCACTGACGAGGCCCTAGCGGCTGTTTGGCGGGTGAAAGAGGGGGTGTCGATAGTGGAGTAATTAAGGAATGTTGAATTCGTGGCACTTTTTGGCCACAGGCATTTTCCTTAAAGTTTGATTTCAATATTCCTTAAATAAATGTTTCTATGTAAATGTACTGAAAAATAAAAAATAAATAAAAAAAGCTCAGCATTATATTTTAATCACTTATCATGCGATAGATTTTAGTTAAGTTTGTGCATTCTGTAAAGAGGGAGGAGGGTCCGGTTCTTAGCCGGAAATGGATTATTTGCACATAAAAAGGTTTAGGTTATTTAGAATTTTTGACCCATGATACGGGCTCTTTTTCTTGCTGCTAGTTTCAGTCTGGCTTTCTCTCAATGAGGGGGGGGGGGGGTGTAGGTCGAAAAAAAAATCTATTGCCTAAGGAGACATTTTGAAAGCAAAATCGTTTCGAATTAGATCTAATCAAAAAGAGGACTTAAAATATGTTGACAAAAAGAGGACTTAAAATATGTTGACAAGAAGAGAAAAAGAAAAAGTGGATGATTCACAATATTTGAATACAAAATGAATAAGCATAAAGTGGTAAGGAGAGAGGGGGGACGACGAGACGACTCGGAGTTAAACTTGATGCAAATAAGAGATTTCAGAATCTATCATAAAAAAGACGGCTGATTATAAACTTGTCGCTGAATGCAGCCTTTGGCATCTCATAAGTCTTTTTTTCATGCGTAAATCACGCTCGTGTCAATCCTTTTTTGTTTTGTACTATTCATGAGCAATTGAGCAAGCCTGTCTGGGGGTTAGCATCTATTTACTGAACGAGCGTCGAGAAGAAATTCAAACACGGCTAAGAGAAGCAAAACATTCAACCTAGGTATTGTAGCGTTTGTTTAGCAAAAAAGGGAGGTATGAAAAATAGAGAATTGAATACATGTAGCAAGTTGAGTAAAATTCTAATAGGTCATTTCATCTTTTCCTGCCGTTTAAAAGTATACGATTAGCGATAAGTCAAATGGGTACACAATAAAAACTAGCGTTGGTGGAAACGGGAGTGGTCGATGGAAAATTTTGGTCAATACTGGAAGTTCCCAGATGGGCAGACGAACAGTAAAAGACCTGGCCGGCCTATCCTGTCCTGTTCGCTTTCATCTAGGTTACAAAGTTAAGGATATGAGTTGTAAATTAACTTGGGATACTTTTCTCCTGAGCTAGGACGAGAAAATACTGAGGCGTTAGGCTCGGGAGGAGATTGAAGTTTGCAATATTTTACTTAATATTTGAGATTTCTATAATTATTGTATTGAGAATTATTATAGCATGAGGTTACCAACCAGAACGAGTAGAAGCTGCCTTATTTATAGTCATAATAACAGTTTTAACTTCTCAAAGGCAGATGAACATACCTGAACTGTGATGCCGGGGACGAACTCGGCCTGACGCCTGTGGCTCGGCAACATGCGCTGCTGCCTCGTGGTCATCCTGCCGCCGTCCTTCTTGTTGGGCGGCAGGAGCCGGTGACTGGCCCGTCCTTCGCCGGCGTTGTAGCCGCTCTTGGCCTGACCCGAGCTGGGTCTCCGCTGGTTCTGCGGCTGCGCAGTCCTCCCGGCGGCGGCGGCGCCGGTGGATCGGCTCGCGGGCGGCGCTTTCCCGCCGATCGTCGCGCGCACCGTGGCGTTGCGGGCCGGCGCGGCGGCCACCGACGACGCCGGAGTCGGGTTCGAGGCGAAGTTCTTCTTGAGGGCGGCCAACCAGCCGAGGCGCCGCACGTGGTGGTTGGCGTCCGTGTCGTTCTTGTAGGTCTCGCTCCTGGTCGGCACCGTCCCGGCGATGGTCCGACGGTTCGCCACCACCGTCTCGTTGAGCTTGTTGCGCTCCATCTCCTGCTTCTGGAGCTTCTTCAGCTCCGACTCGACCATCGTCAGCTCGTTGAGGTGGTTCTCGATGAGGGCCATTTCGGGGAGCATGTTATCCGACTCCCCGCCGAGCCCGCAGCTGCTCCCGACCGACGAGGCCATCTGGTTGGCCACGCGCGGCGAAATCGAGAACCCCGTGCTCCGCTTCACGTTCCCGCTGCTGATGGAGTCTCTGTCGCTCTTGTCCTCCTTCTTCTTCTTGTCCCCTTTGCCGAGGACCTTGAGGACGCCGTCCAAGGACTTGAGGTTGATCTTGAAGCGGCGGCTCTTGCGCACTTTCTTGTCGACCGAGTGCGACGGGGAGTTGTCCGAGGAAGTCCCGGCTCCCGAGGACGGGGTCAGGACCGGGACGGGGATCTCCACGACTTTGGCTTCGGTATCGTAGGTGCCCGAGTTCTGGGAGACACCGTCCTCGTCTTTGACCCTGATCCCGGGAACGAGGATCCGGTTGCCGGACCTGTCCTCCTGCTCGCCGGCCGCCGCCGCCGCCTCGTTCTTCTCGACCGGGACGACTGAGAATATGTGCGAGCCGGTGCTGATCTTCTTGACGCGCGGTTTGACGGCCTCGTCACCCACGCCCAAACTGGGCGAGCCCAGATTGGAGTCGGCTTCTGTGTCGCTGGTCTCGGCTCTGTCCCGGAGCAGAGCGGCGCTCTCGCTTTCCGGCAGGGCGTCTTCGTCGTCGTTCTCGTCGCCGATCTCCAGGTCGATGTGGGCGATCATCTTCCGCCGGGTGGACTCGTCTTTCCTCGCGGCCTCGATGGCGTTGGCAGCCATCTCGACGACGGTGCTGCTCGTCGACGAGGAGCTGCTCTCGTCCACCTCCTTGATTTCGGGCAGAGGGGGAACGGGGGCGGGGGTGGCGACGACCGGCACCGTCTTCTCGGGCTCGGCTTTATCACTTAGGCTTTCTTCAGGTACAGTTTTATCGGCGTTATCACATTTGTCCGAGGACCCATCTTCTGTGGCGCTGTCCTCTTGGGTGGGGGTTGGCGCCGACTCGGGTGCGGGGCTCTGGGAAGGCACGGCGATATCATCACAGCTCGTTTTGAGGGCCGCTTTCTTGGCGCTCCAGTCTGGTAGTTCCGGTAGTTCGGGTAGTTCCGGGGGGTCGTCCGGGTCCTCGCCGGGGTCCAGGCCGTTGACGTTCGGCTCCGGCTCGGACTCGGCTCGCTCCTTGTGTTTCCTCAATCCCATCGTGACGGATGTCGACGGATCAGTTTCTCCGATGCTCGCCATTTTACTCACACCGGCTGCATGAACCCTTCGTCTCCTTCATTTTACCGTCCGCTCATCGTCCGACGGCTCATTCCACTGAGATCTCACTAGTTTTTACCGCACAACTTACACAAGGAATCGGACGGATTTCACACTTTCATGCTGAAAAGAGGTACGCAAAGAAATGAGTACGCTGATATCGGAATGTAGAAAGTGCGAGAGTGTATGGAGACGAGTGGATGGGGGAGGGGGGGGGAGAATAGATTATTACCTATCTTTCCTAAAACTAAGTTCCAGAAATGAACTTGTGGCTGATTAATGCCTACATTTGAGCGCATATTTCATCCGTCATAGCATTCCTTTACGAAAACATCAAATTCTAAAATTCAACGACGAAATGTGGCGTTTGATATTAAGATGGCGGCATTTATGAATCATTCATTCAACCCACTTACAGCTTTACCCACATTTCATGGTGCATCAGTTGGATCAGAAGTAAACCACCTATTCGGCCAAAGGAATGAAACTCCCTTAAGGGACTCCAACGGCAAGAGAATAGAACAAAACAAAAACCGGAAAACCGATGAACTGATTACTGATACCAGAAGCCGAGGATTTTTCGTTTTTTAAATTTCATTGATATTTTCATTAGATGTAAGGATTTTTTGTAACATATAATAATGGACGTACACTTGAGTTTTAACAGCATGGGAGAGGAACAGAAAATCGACAAACTTTTTTCAGTTTATGGATGATTTTACATGAAAACAGTCAAGATGAACCGAGGTTCTCAGTGGACTAGAGAGAGGAATTTCCAACCGAAGCTCCAATCCCAGCGGATATTTGCATTGGTCGATGATTTACTGATCGGGAGATGAAAAAAGAAATAAAAGAGGAAGAAGAATTTATAATTGCGCCGTGCCATAGATTTTTCCCCAAGGTCAAAACGTGGCAAACAATACAATTTCTTCCCTCCTCCCGGGAGAGTGAGCTCTATGAACTTGAGAAAATATTCCAAGAGTCGGACTCGGAGGATGACATCCTCGTCGTCTCTCCACGCGACCTCCAACTTTCGAGCTTGAGCTTCCTGCGAGCCGCGTTGGAAGCCGAGGCACAAAAGAACTCCGAGTGCCAGGAGACCGCCGAATCAACCTAACTTTTGATGACGGCGGGGAAAAGTTTATTAAATTTTCGATTAGGAACGCGCAACATCCGAAAGTTAAACGTCATTCCGAGTTGAGCCGGCGAAAGTTTCCGCGCTAAGCTGGTGGTTCGATATATTTTCGTCAACGGCTTAAATACCTCCACTCGGTTCGCTCTGGACAGGTCGGGGTGACTAACGAAAACTTGAGGATAAGTTCTAGCGGAAAGATCCGTCCTTTCCTTTCCTTCACACCTCGCGTCAAAATTCGGACTGACAGGCGAAAAAGTTAACTCTCGCGGATTTCAATGCATTAATAAGCACTGCGTCTTTACGGTCGTACGAGAGAGAAATACTTTTGTGCCAAGAGTATGCAAGAGGTTGTCGCTTGATTTATTTTATTCCCCTTCCGGTAGAAAATTCTAGTAATTTTAGACGTTTTTGCCGACACCCCCCCCCTCTCACGATAAATTCGAAATCAAATTTACGACCTGTTCTAGAGTTTTTCAATAACCTCTGCCAATGGGAACTCCAATATAGGTACATTGACTAACATATCGATTAATATTGTGGCTACAAACGAGGTATTTGGTAGTTTTTCTCCCCAAGTTCGCAAATCGCTGGGCGTTGTGAAAGACATAACTCGTACGGTAATTTGAAGCGAGAATCTTGAGAGTCGATTAATGACATTCATTTGGACCACTTAATTTACTTAACCTTTGGACACTGACTTATCTCATGGGTGAATTGTAGTCAAGAGGTTATTTCTTATTTTCTACAGATAAGCGACGACTCTTCGTAGCAATTCACAATTCGCGAAACGAGATTATGAGCAGTTGAATATTTAAATAGGTAAGTGGCACACAATGAAACACGTTTGAGAGATCTCATCAATCTTTTCAAAACCATGAAACGAGTTAACTTGGTTTGATCCAAGAGTTTTCCTGAGAGAATATTGTCAATGTTGCCTTTCTTAAACTGATGAAATGAACCTATGAGTTAAATACATTTTAATTCTTAGTGTTCAGTTGGGTTCTTTGGTGTCATACGGATATAAAATTGAGTTGTTGGGCTCATGACGCCGTTTCCCTCACGAAAGGACGTAATTCACTCCATTACATTGTTGCCAAATTTGCCTTCGCAAATTTCATATTAAGTAGGAGAATCTTGGGCATTTCTGACTAAAAATTGTATTGATTTTGTCCTCAGATTTCATGCAAAAATCAGAAAAAATTTTGATAAAAATTGCACAGGTATACATTTTTGTAAAATCAATTAATAGTTTAAGTCAATTTGGCAACTTTGGAATGGAGTTACGTTCCTGCGTCCGGGAGACGACGATGAGTCGAACGGAAATATTCAAATCGAATTTTCTGCCCGGCTTCGAAGCTACCATTTGTCTCTAAAATATATTTCAATCGTGAGCGGCATTGTCAAATAGCAGTTGACGGATATACAGCACTACAATAAAGATGCGCCCTCTTAAGATGCGGGTGAAGTAATAATAATAATATTTTTTTAAAACAAAAACCTTAAGTAAGTTTTTAACCAGCTGCTAAAATTATTTCTATTCGTTAATGGAAAAAGAGGACGTGTCATACAATTAGGCACCGTTGCGCGAGAAGTTCAAGAATCTTGTTTACACGTGCCTGAACAGCTTCAGATTATGAATAAGTTATCACACTAATTACGCACTGTTCACATAAGAATGAGTGCGTTTGACGTAAAAAACACCTCTCAACTCGCACAGCCGAGCAAGAAAAGTTGCGACGCAAACACGGCTCATCAGAAGGAACAAACTTGAAAAAAGAGCTCGATTCCCTCTGCGCTCAAAACTAGGAGATAGTCATCGATGTGTTGTGCTCCGTCTCGGAGAAAAAAATTTGCCTACAAATGTCTACCAAGATATTAAGAGGATTTAAAGAAGATAATATTGACTCAACCTCAGCGATGAAGAGGAAATTCTTCCCGGAGGATGAGGTGCGGACTCGGACGAAGAAAAACAAAACTCGGGTCAAACAATCCGGGACTATTCGGAAATTCGCCCTCGATATGAAGAAAGAACCGTTTGAAATTGCGCCTGAGTCTTGTACCAACAGTCGAAGGATCTTGATTACTTCTCCGAGTAAACAAGTAAAAGCGAACGGACTTTATTCGTTTAACGGTTCGATTTGTGAGCTGTTTATTTACGGAATCGTTGCGATGCAAAACTTGTGCAAGCACTGCACGCTGCGTATCAATCCATCTACTATCAACCGAGGATTGCTTCGTATGGTAGACGAGAATCGTTTCCTTCGGAGGAAGTACACCAAAAGTAAATCCTGAGTGGAGAGAGATGATCAAAAACAAAATAAAACATTCTCTGCACAGACTTTTCCGGATAAAACATGCCAAGGCCAAGGCTCATTACGTCGTTCCCTAGACGAAACACTGGAAAAAAAACTCGCTTGGATCTAGAGTCCAGACTCTTGAAAACAATGACAAGAAAAAATAATCTTGATTCAATCGGATTTTTGCTTGAATCAATAGGAAATCCGCTTAGATTAAGAGGCTTGGTTCTTGATCTAAGCAAAAATCCGATTGAATCAAGAGTATTTTTTCTGGTCAATGTTTTTAAGAGTCTGGACTCTAGATCCAAGCTACTTTTTTTTCCAGTGAGGGAACGTCACTTTATTCCAAGTTTCCAAAATTGTTTCTAACAATTCAATTTTATACAAAGATGCACCTTGTGTTTTTGATTTTTGTGTGAGATCAGTGGCATTTTCAGTTAGGAATGCCAATATTTTCCTGGTAAAAGTGCAATTTGCCAGGGAAAATTCAGCAACATTGAAATGCCGTTACGATTTTTTGAAAGGAAAACGACGATTACTGACCTGCCGGCCGATTATTGAACTTGATAGACAAAGCTATGGACGAAGAAGACGAAAGGGATACGGCGGGATCCTATTGGTGGAGGCGGGTGGTTGCAATGGACAAAGGAGGTAGGTAATAGACTAACTAACGGCAATTGACAAGAGACCCGACATTTAGTCTGTCATTTTCCCTCTTAGTCTGTAAAGACCACCAGTTTCAACCAATGGGATCGCTACATACTCCCTATGTCTTCTTAGTCAATAGCTTTGTCTATCAATTTCAATAATCAAGGCTGGCTCAAGAAGGACAGCAAAAAGGGAGGAAGGAGAGAAGAAACTCAACTGCTATTCGTACGTTGGGTCTGGTTCGGTGGAAAAAGGGGAGGCGACATTAACAACAATTTTCTTCCATTCTTACAAAGGGAAGGCAAAGGATTCTGACAGAATTAGGGCACTATTATATTCACAAGCCACGTTTAGCCACGTGGAAATCAAGGGATCCCCTCCCCACCACCGGTCTAGCATTCCTAATTAACCTAAGAAGAGGAAAAATCGAAATCGAATAAGAAGACGCTTTCTTTCAGGGACTCAGCAGGATGGTTAGCGGGAGGTAACCGAAATGAATCCCGAGAATTAGAACTTGGAATATGCTTAGCGGTCATGCATTTCCTGAACTTATGCTTTCTTTTTCCTTGAGTGACAGTCTTGATAAATTAGGTAGAACTCCACGGAGGAAAAACAAAAAGAAACGCGGTAAATAAAATATGCGAATGAATAAATTTGCCACCGTTCAAGTAAATGTTCGGTGCGCAAGACCGTAACGTTGTTTCAAAATTTGATAGAAGATTCAACCGAGTATAGAAGTCTTGACGAACGTCGCTAACTCAGCGCACAGAGAGCCCTGCGACTCATAATCGTCATTCAAACCTATCCTCCAGGTCCGGAAAATGACATTTAAAAAAGAGAGAAAAAAAAGGGGGGGAACTCCATATTCCAATTTTCCTGTAGGATGTAAATTAGTAATAGCCCTGTGCTCCACAAGAAAGGCAGTGCCACAATTTGAGTCATAAATTTGTCTGCGAGGATAATGATAGCCATTCAAAGCTTAACGAGTCTTTGGGATGGATGCAAACTGGAAACGGGAGACGAACAGATACCAAGCACGTGAA